TATATATATATATATATATATATATATATATATATATATATATAAATTACAGTAAGGGAGAGCAAAAATACATCATCGGAGGCAAGAAACAGCTGCAAGGGAAACCACGAGGGAGACAGCAGCAGCAGAATCCAGCGCTTAGCGATTGAACAATGAGGAGCTTAAACAGGGAGTTTGTTTACTGGACAGAGAACCGGTGGCTGAGCGGTAATGGGTTGAGGCCGGACAGGTAGACTGAAGAAGGAGAGAGAAAGTCAGGAGAGGAGCAGGGAGTAAACATAAATCAGGAGACTGAAAAAAAAATTGATAAATAAATTAATAACAGGAACAAAAATGAACAAAATACCAAGAATAACAACCCAAAGTGAGATCCTATCACAAGTAAATAAACAGCTTAAAAATAATAATAATCTAAATAGGCAGAAAAAGGCAGAAAAAGAAAGATCAACTAAACAAATGATCAAAATGCAAGGACAAAAATTATCTTAAATAACCCAAGATCCTGACACACATTAGGTTTAGAAATTCTGCAAATAAAATGTCCCAACATGTTTCGTAAACAAATATTGAACCAAGATGAAAGTAAATGTCAAACTGCTTTATGGAGATAAATATGTAAAGGCCATACGATCAAAGGGCATATACTGTATTTTGAAGTCGCTGTGATTTTTCATCCAGAAATGCATCGTGCTGCGCAGGAGGAAATGAACTCCTGTGGGTGGAAAAGCATGATTTTGAAGACTTATGTTTAGATTTTTTTCTTTCCCCCCAGTTCATTCAGGAAGAATAATTGGAGGTCGGGAAGCTGTGCCACACAGCCGGCCATCCGTGGTGCTTATGGAGAGACGCATCGAATGACATGAGATACTGTGATGGATTCATTGTCAGTGAGGACTTTGTGATGACTGCTGCCCACTGTCAGGCCAAGTGAGTTAAAAAACATGGTTTTTTTCTTACTGACATGAATTGTGCTTTAACTGACATATGATACGAAAGCAGATTTTTCTCTTTTTTTTTCCATTACAGGGATTACTCAGTTGATCTTGGACTTCACAGTACGTATCATTTGACAAAATGAAGTGAAGCTCATAAAAGTGGAACAAGCATTTTCACATATACAAATCATTACAACAATAAGACCTTTTTAGAATGACATCATCCTCCTCAAGGCAGCAATAGTTGTAAATCTTATGTACTGGCTGTCATCTACTTCTTTTTCATGGTTTCACTTGCAAAGGCCTTGATACTACGAATGATGCATGGTACCATGATACCAATAAACTAAAATTTAATTTCACATTTTATCTGACAACTAGCTGACACAATAAGTGAGAGGATTGCAAGTGAATAAATCCATAATACTGTCAGACCAACACGTGCAATGGCTTGTGTCACGAGAAGTGGCATCATGTGTCACAAACAAACTTGCTTCCAAATTCATTATCATTTAAATAAATTGATTATTTTTCCCTTTTTTGTTGTTTTTTTTTGTTATTGCACACACACAGAGATTCTTCAGTTTGCTCACTGGAAATACTAGTATGAATGTTTTCCGTGCAGCAAAATCACAATTGCAGGATTCATGGACATTTCTACACATTGCCCCAAAGTTCTCTTTTATAAGCTGCATTTCCCCTGTGAGGCTCCGTCTGAGTGTGTCCCTGAGCCACATCATTTGCATATGCAAGTAAGACACATCCCCTTTTGGTTAAAAGCCAGGAGATATGAGGGTTTGAACTTGTCAACTATTCGTGCCTCCGCTGCTCAGCACCGTTGCTCAGCTGGACTGCGATCCCACCGTCATGTTCTTCAATAACAGACTGCCAGTACTGATGGTCCTGCTGACTCTTTACGATCAAGGTAAGAAAACGCTTCCATAGCATGAGAACCATCAATTTGAAGAACAACTTATTTGTCTTTTTTTTTCCCAGTTCCACACAGCATTGTAATTCAACTTTAGGCTGGTATAGAAAGTGAAGCACATAATAGTCATATTTTAGAGCTTTCTTTATACACCTAACTTCTACTGTATAAGAAAAGGGTTTTTGTGCTTGTGTTTATATTAAATGCAGTCTATTGCGTCTAATGCTCCCTGTAGGCCAAACTGAAAAAATAATTGGAGGCCATGTGGCTGAGCCTCACAGCCGGCCGTACATGGCGTTCATAAGAAAGAACCTGGTCAACAACGAACCATCATTCTGTGATGGATTTCTTCTGAACGAGGATTTTGTGATGACTGCTGCCCACTGCCAAGCCAAGTCTGTCTAAAACTATCATTTTTATTTACTGACAAGATTCTTGCATATTCTTCTGCATGTGTTTGTAATTATTCCCTATACAGAAAGAACCTGAATGTTTGCACTTTTTTTTTTTTTTTTGTTGGTGTGGTATTTCGTTACAGCAACTACACCGTTTACCTCGGAGTTGATAATACAAAATTTTTGAAAAATGAAAAAATACAGCATCGAACTGTGGAAAAAGCGTTTCCTCATGAAAATTACAAGAAAAACGAATTCAACGATGACATAATGCTCCTTAAGGTAAAAAGGAACAAATGCTTTCTATTGTTTTTTTTTTTCTTTGCCATTTGCTTTAGTTTTCCTTCAACACACGTCAAAAACTTAATGAGTTCAGTTCATGCCAGAAAGCAATGCATTTGCAGGACATGTACATAGTAGAATATGAGCTTGGATTTGTATTAATATTTCATTTAACTCGTCACTGTTCCAGCTAAGCTCTAGAGCGGTGGTGAACAACCTTGTGAAACCCATCGCTCTGGCAAACTATGATGATTTGACTCTGCCCACATCTTGCATCGTGTCCGGCTGGGGTCAAACTCAAGCGAATGGAGGGATCTCTGACAAACTCATGGAAATGAATGTCACATTGAATGAAAATAGCATTTGTACTAAAAATAAGTTATACTGTTCAAATGGAACAGCTAGACCTGGCAGGGTATGTGATTTTTTTTTCTTTTTTACAGATTTAAAGCAAACTATTAGATCTTACTGATAATATAACATCTCATTGTAACTCAAGTGACCTCTACATTATGTGTTTGTTCTTGCAGGGGGATTCTGGAGGTCCACTGGTATGTGGACAAGGCACCGCTTATGGAGTTGTGTCCTTCATGTCCCAATACTCAGCTGATCTTTCAATGGTTGCTTACACAAAGATACCTTGCTACTCTGACTGGATCACGTCAACGATGAAGAAGGCTCTTAGCAAGAACTAGAAGTCCTGGCTAATTCAATCATGTTTAACTTTTAGTCACGTCATTGGTGAGGGAGCAATCTCATATATTCCACACTGATAGTACTGTCAGTAACGTGCAAACAATTGATATTTTATACAACAAACAGAAAAACAACAACATATTATGAACACAGTCCATCCATCCATCCATCCATCCATCCATCCATCCATCCATCCATCCATCCATTTTCTTACACCTTTGTCCCTTGAGGGGTCAGGAGGGGTGCTGCAGCCAGTCCATGAACAGAGTCTGAGAATGAAATTTGTTAATATTCTTCTATGTTGAGTTTGAGACCCTATTTTTGACACTGATGTGAAATTTCAGTTTGTTCAAGCTCAACTTTAACAAATGTTTGATAACACCTACAGTAGATAGTTGTAAAAATGATTGGAGATTCAATGTGTGTGAAAAGATTATCTTGCTACAAATAGAGTCCATAATTCCATGTTTGTACTATTTTATATGTATATATATAAAAAATCAATAAACTTTTGTATTCTGAAACTTGTGTAGGCCTTTTTTTCAGCAACAGATACACTAAAAAGAAAACAACACTGACCCCTTGTGAAGAATGTGTGTCATTGCATAAGGAGGAGGGTTGCCATACTTCTTGAAGTTATAAACCTTTCATAAATTAGCCTTAAGCTCTTAAAGGGTGTGTTGTCTTTCAGTTCAAGAATTGCTGTTTACTGATTTCAACCCTTCATAACTGGATCATCTCAATAACATAAAGCAAGAAAACAATGAACAAGAGATGAGACTAATCAGATCATATGTGAGCAAATTTAATCTGATTTAGAGTCACTGTCTGTTAACCATGTTCCTATTTATTCTAAACTTTGTCCTTTTCTCTCCTTTGAATCTACAAATGAGACACAATCTCCTTTTTGTGAAGAACGTGTATTGTTGCTCATGAACCAGACTTCCTAGACTTTCCAAAGTTATGATCACAGTGTCTTCTCATTTTAAACTTTAGATATATTAAGGCTACTTTTTTTTCTTCAAATGCATTTTAGTTTATCGACTTTAATGGGATATAAGGCCACAAAACAAATTATAAAATACAAATAAACAGTCCCAATTTTTTAAAAATTCAACTTAGACTATCTTAAGGAACCAAACTGCTTAAGATTGAAACTAAATCAATTTTCTTGTGTTTGTTCTTTCATAACTTCAGTTGCCACCGTGTCATTTGCAAAGGCTCTCATTAAAATGAGATCCCACACACTGGATGAATACATGATGGTGGTTGTTTAAAAAAAAAAAAAAAAATCAAGAAATACAAAAGTAATGAAAATAAACAGTGTTTCATTTGGAGGGAAACTGACTGGGGAAAATAAATGTGACTGACAAACTCATGGAAATCAATGTAACACTGACTAACAATGAGGAGTGTGTAAAAGAAACCTCTTCCTGTTCATCAGATGAACAGACTGGATTGGGTCCTGCAGATATTCCATAATAACTGCATTGATAATCGGTGAATTTTTGCTGTGTGTGTGAAAAACTTCACATAAACTGCTGTATTTATGCTGCATATTCTCTCAGCTGGACACTGGAGGTCTGTGACGGTGGTAGAGCTTATGAAGTGGTGTCTTCATAACTCAAGATGAACCTTAATGCACTGTTTAAGTATGCCAAAGTTTCAGACAGTTTGAACATTATTATATTATTTCAGAGTTGATTTCATCTAAGTTTGTCCCCTGTTATGTTTCAAATCAAGAAAACCATTTTGATCCTAACATATTAACTACCTCAGCAAATTGTGCAACACTGCCACCTTGTGAACAGTGCCGCTTAATGCAGGAAAGATATTTACTGTTTGTCTTGAGGACAGAAGCACTGTGTCCTCTCACATACTGGCTAAACCTGTTTGCTTTGAGGAGTAATATTTGCTATATTTTGTGTTTTTCATTGAAAGAACAATTAAATAAGATACTGTTTAGCAAAAACCATTTGAAATTGTCATATGGATAACATCAGTATAACTTTAAGTCATGCTTATCTGGATAATATTTGGTCATTTATATGACATTAAATGACATTTAGACCTTTGATCATTACAATGCAGGGGTGATAAAAACATTGATTTTTTTTAAATTTTATTTTTTTTACCACACTGGATAAGATATTGTTTTGCCTTACAGAAGATCATCAAAGATATTCCCTGCAGGTATTTGCAGTTTCTGAGTTAAATGTGTATGGGACTTCAGTATGCAGTTTCTTGACTTCAGCAGTTATCACTGAAAATTGAGCTGTTTATTACTACCAGAACAAAGCAGACAGACTTTATAAAAAAACAAAAAACAGAAAAACATCCAATGTTAAAACCTGATGCGTTTCTCCCAAACCAACACAACCCAAACAATTTCTGTCGGATCTAGATTTGCTGATTGTGGAAGTTGCTGGGAAACAAAGAACTCATTCTCATATTTAAAAGAAACAGTTTGATATAGTTTGAGCTTTCTGACATGGTGCATTATTATGGTGACAGCAGCCACTGGAAGATTAGCTCACTGTGGTGAAAGATATGATCAGCAACGACTCCGGTATACAATGGCATTGAAATAATGGTGAATTGGTAGTAGAAATCCCAAAGTGTGGTAAGAAACATCTGAACTTGTTGATCCAGGATGGATCTATGTTTTCATGTCTGATACAAAAGGACATGTAAGGTTTTCTATGGTGTTATTGTGCATTATTTTTATTATAACCTCAGTTTCCTGTTCTTAACTGACCAGAGTGGCATCCAGTGTAAACCTCTACTGAAAAGTTCAGAGTGTTGTGTACTTAGAGATGATATTTTAGGCTAATATTGACTTTCCATTACCTCAAAGTAGTCCACCTGTTCTTATCTGATCTCTGACATCAACACACAGCTGCCTCTAACTGGATATTTTCATATTTTTGGCCAAACAATGAAAATTGTTGAGTTTTTAAATCCCTGCGTGTTTGCTTGTTCTGATAACAGATCACACAACTACTTCAATCCCTTGCCAATTTATTGAGGACAGGGGTATTGCACAATGTTTCTTGTTATTTCCTGCACTGTTTGCCGTGTGCATGTCTCTAAAGTTCACACAGCTTCCCAAAAATGAGATTCAATCATGCAGTACATAAATGAATGACATGAAACAAAATTACAATGATTGGTTGAAAAAATTTGTAATCCAACACGTCTCTGTTTCTGCCTCATACTGTTTAGTTGTTATAATTCAACCATTGACGTATGATAAATTAATATGATTATTAAGATAGTTGTGGTTACAGTTACAGGATAGTTGTGATATGAGCTTACACTATTCTAAGAAGTGCATCGCGGCGATGAATCAACATGCTGACGTGTGTACATGTGTGTCCCAGATGAGCAATTTGTAATTTTGCAGAGGAGTTTCAGAAAAGCTATCAGCGTATGACCTCATGGCTGCTGCAGTGCACAAATGCAGTTGGCTGCTTTTCTTTGTCATTTTAATGAATTTGCACTGCAAGTGTACAAATCCTTCTCTGTTCTTATTTTTTCACTCTATCAATATTACAAATTATTTTAATCATATACATTTATTCTTTGCGCTCTGAACCAAACTATTTCTCTTACAAATGGGTAAGTTATTATTATTTTTCTTTTTGATTTTGCTTCATTTGCAAAACAGAGATTTTCTTTCTTTTTAAAGCAGGAAGACGGGGAGCGTTCCACACAGCGATGCGTTCAAATGAACGACCACCAGTCACTGCTAACCAAATTGGTTTGGAAATGTTTTAATTTCCAGACATCTAACACAACTTTTAGGACGATTTAGTTGAATTTTAAAGTTAATGCATATACATTTTTACTGTTTTAATATCATGAGGGTGAATAAGTGTAGAACTGAGGCACTTATATCTTTCAAAACCTTTCTATTCTATTAATGTTTTAAACACAAATCATGTTGCAGACGATTAGAGGAAGCATCTTGGTGAGTAAGGTATGGTTTTCGCGGTATATGTTCCTCTTACGGTGGCATATCTTTTAGGAAGTACATCGGTATTTGCAAATGTAAGAAGGGAAGCAGTAAAATATAACACAATATACTTCAAGCATTGGTTTTTAAGTTATTCTTCTATCCAGAAGTAGGGATACTAAACACATACATGTTAGGAGGATTATTCTAAAGTCTTAAAGAGAAACTACAATGCATTTAGAAAAAAAAAAACTGCTTTGATCTAAATATTCAATTTTGTAACATAATGTAGTGAAACATAGTGAAATCTATGTTACAAAGGACGCTATTACATTATATATTTGATGGTGCTTAAATTATGTTTTATATTTCGTGAACATCTGGCTGTTTGTATGTTGTTTTTTTTTCTTTCTGTTAAACAATTTTACCAGCTGGGTCTGGTATCACAGGTGGACAGTGCCTCTCTCAATCATGTCAATGTCATGAGGCTGCTGGAGCCCATGCAAGAAGTCGCCATCAATTCTGCAAAAAGGATTTTTGCACACAAAATGCAAAACTTTAAAGCAACCGTACATGTTTTTATATCTCTCTCTGTGTGTGTGTGTGTGTGTGTGTGTGTGTGTATCGATGGTGGTGGTGTTTATCGGAAACCTTCTCAGCATATGAGAGGAGGCACAGAGGGATTGGGGTGAGGTGACTTCCACAGGCTGTGCAAATTACCAGGCTCACATAAAAGCACAACAAAAATAAAATATGCATCCACTAAACATTTAAAACATGTGGGGAGTGCAGCTAATCTTTTTACGGCCTACCACCTTATAGCACTTAGCTTGTCTAGTAATTTGCAACATGGCTGTTGTGCTAAAACTGTGTGGTGGTTTATGAATACATTTTCTGGTTCTAACTATCTTTGTTAGTTCATGCTAACAAAGATAAAAAACCCCAAAAGGCTTGTGAAAGATGCTATCATCTTCTGGCAAAAAAAGAAAGGATCCGTTTTCTTAAAACCATTTGCACTTGGTGACCTGAATCAGTTTATGCAAAGTTTTCTAAAAAAAAAAACATACATTATTTTTGTAGTTCCCTCAGTGAACTGCTGTTCGGCAGGACTTTTCAGCATGTAGATTGTCTTAAAATAAATGCAGTAAAGTGACGTGCACAACACATTTACGTACTATTTTGCTAAATAGCAATGCAAACACAATTATTAACTATAGTTATTAATTATTAGAGAAATGTTAGACCTTGTCACAACATCAACCTCTAGCAACAAAATTATGCTTTGCGCAGTCTGGTCCAAAGGAGTAGATGGAAACCCGCCCAATGTGCATTCTCCTTACTTCTCTATTTTGCACCATTTCAAAATTTTGGGGCAAATTGGTCAAACTATTTTGACAGAGCTCTGTGTGACATATTGTTTGATTGATCAGATGTTGGTTGATATTTTTCTTCAACTAGTTCACTGCTTTTTCCGTCTGCAGGAGACGTGAATGCTTATCCCACTGCACCACTGTATGAAAGGTGTGCAAACACAAACTTGTCAAAACCACATGACCGTGTGTCGAC